TGATGATAATTACTGTAGCACACCGCAAGATAACCGTCAAAACGCGTCGGCCGGATAATGAAACCCTAACTTTCGAAATCGACCAAGCGTGCATTGCAGCGCAGATGCAGGGAACAGTTGACGCGACTAAAGCCCCTAGGGGCTTTAGGCGCGACAGGCTACAGCACGCCTCCGATGCAGAAAGTCGTTTGTGCCATGAGGCAAGCTTGCATTCTTGCCATTATTGCGGTGGTAGAGATTGGGAGATAGGGGGAGGCAAACGCTCGAGCTTCCGGTGACCCGTCATTGGGTTTGTGTTTGGGTGCGGTATTCTAAGGACCCTAGTTCAGGGTAAGTCCTCGGAAGAGGAGACTTCGCACTCGCAGCCTGTTTGACTACACTCGTATGCTCGGCGAGGCAAGCACCCAGCCGAAGCATCGAAAGGTCCAAAGGTGCGTGCACCGGCGAATTGGCTCGGGCGGGTCGGGGAGCCCAAAATATGCGAGTAAATATATTTTTTCCCCCTGAAAAGCTGGCCAAATATTAGGGGTGCACAAATTATGTGCATAAATAAGGCAATATTGCACCTAAAAGTGCTAGCCTTGCATCATAAAACATTCAAATATATTGCTACCGCACTCATTGGTTTGCCCTTTTGGTGAAACTGACTTTTTTTCTTTAAAGATACTTCATGTATGAAAGCCAAAATGCTTAAGAGTCAGTCACCTGTGTATAGAAAATTGTCAGGTAACTGTGTGCTTTTATATTCACATTTTATCTTCAAAGTACATCGCTTCGAACATTTTCAGCTCCTAGCTTTAATTACACCTTGTGTTTGTCGTGCTTGTTAATAAATTTAGATGCTGTGGGCAAAGAAAGTCTTAAGCAAGTGTGAATTTCACGGCAACCCATTCAGTTCTCTTGTAAGTGCAAATGAATGTCAGTGATATACTGAGACACTGGATGCTCAACCAGCAAGCTCTTCATTGGTGAGCCTCATAGTCTTTTCAGCATCTTTCAAGGTGAATCATGTGCCTGGTGACAAGGGTTAGGCTCTCATAGACATGACTATTATCTGTAATGCAATTAGACTTAATAGCGCATGCGAGCTGCCGGGTGCAAGAGTTAAGTTAATGAGAATTGCTTTGCAAAGTCTTTGTTGTCTTTGTTTGATTGATTTGTGGGGTTTAACGTCCCAAAACCACGATATGATTATGAGAGACGCCGTAGTGGAGGGCTCCGGAAATTTTGACCACCTGGGGTTCTTTAACGTGCACCCAAATCTGAGCACACGGGCCTACAACATTTCCGCCTCCATCGGAAATGCAGCCGCCGCAGCCGGGATTCGAACCCGCGCCCTGCGGGTCAGCAGCCGAGTACCTTAGCCACTAGACCACCGCGGCGGGGCTTTGTTGTCTTTGTTTAGGTTCAAAGTCTTGAGGATTACAACATTAGACATTGTTCTTACATTTATTGATGATAGTATCGTATGAGCCTAAATTCTGAAATAGTTAGGATTTAAGCCTGGCCAAACTAAGGTCACTTTGCTGGAAAACGTTGGCCAAATTTGACGATACTCTGTGAATATAGCGCATGATCTCTCACAAAAGAAGCAAGACAAGCATTACGAGAGGCTCCAAAGTGAAAAATTTACTTTCGCAATCACTACCAAGCTTGTAGCTACTGAATAAAGTAGTCGAAGAGTGTTTGTGACAAAGTGAGATAGCTTTTCAGTGATTTTCTAACTTTAAATTTCATCATCTCAAAACCATGTTTTTTATTATTTAGGCACCACCATTTTTTCTGCCTTCCAAGATAACCAGTTGATTATTTTTCCTTGTATTCTGTGGAAATGCATAGAGCTACTGAAGCAGAATTGATATTATGCACTTTACAGCTTTTGTGTTGCAAACTTGCATAGATGCCAATTGGCTAAAAATTTAGGACCTCATGGTTAAGAATGTGCAGAAATTTCATTATTAGTCAAATTTTAATCAACCTGCTTTAGTTAAGAGCCAAAAATTTGGAAGAATATAATGTATGGGTTATGCAAATACAGTTAAACCTGGATATAACGAAATTGATAAATTCCCGGGGAAATTCGTTATAAAAGGATTTCCTTATATGCAAGTTTGGTACGAAAATTCCAAAAATAAATGCGCAAATTAAACAAAAGCGGCATTGAAAGCAGAGCTAACCCAAAACACTAATTTTACAGTAAAAAACTGTGTTATTATTGCGACAGCAATTATATGAACGCTCTTGTCGGGTTTTGCCATCCCCGCCATGTTCCGTAACAAGTCCAAATTGCCCCCGCGCATCGTAACTTTCACACGAGCCAAAACAAACACGCGAGCGCTGCTGAAGCAGAGATCAAATGAGTCGGCCTATCTCCATCGCCTGGAAAGTGCATAAAATAACATCTCCTGCGTGTTAGAACTGCCGTCGAATGCTCAAATAGAAAGTAAATCACCTGTCTTGAACGAGCATGAAACAACGCGGGGAGGGGAATTGCTCGAGTAGTAATATTGAACTTGGATTTTAAGGGCAGTCGCGATCGCTGGCACGCTCGCTATCCTGGCGAGTATCAGTGCGGTTTCAACGCGGAGGGAATGTGTGAAAAGAGCGCTTCTCCCTGGAGCGGCCGTATTTGCTCACACCAGCGTATTGTAGGAGTTCCGCGATAGCGGATTCAAAAGTAAGGCTGCCAGCCTTACTTCTTATAACATTACCATTTCTTGCTTTCGCATTCATTACATTCCGTTCAACGTGCCGTCGTGTTGTTGCCAGAACTAATCGGCTAATCGCAAAAGCTATCAGCCTGCGAACTCGTTGCCCGGCGCAAGACGAAAGCGTGTGACGAGTTGACCTCTGAATATCCATTGTCACCGTGGTCTCGGAGAGTTTCCATCAGCGCCTAATCTGACATCCCCTTGGTGGTGGCGACATGGTTGTCCCAAATTAAGAAAAATCACAGTTTCACCCCAAGGGCGAAGCAATGCAATAGCAACAACTTAGAATTAACGCTTAGAACGGCAAACAGATCGAAATGGGCAGCGCACTGCTCCCACACAAATGACACACGAAAACAGCATACACAGGATGAGAGTGAACTAACAACATTTACTGCTCGACACTTATTACGCTGTTTAAACAAAAACGAGGCACGAAACGTAATGACAGGTACAGATATGAGTGCGAACCAACAATGTGCCTCGGTTGTTATGTTGCTGTGTTTGAAAAGCGCACTCCTTTTACAAACGGCGCCTGTCAAACGCAATCGTTCCGGTCAAAGTTGAATGCGCGCTATTCGCTTCACCAAAGGATAAGCGCGCACACGCACAAACATCTAACCCCCCCCCCCCCCCATCTGCGAGGCAAAGTATGCGTGGGAGATAAGCGCGCGTCGGCACATCGTGATGAACTGCGTGCCGTGCGCGGGTGGCTTTTTTTTCTTTCTTTCTTGAGTGTTCATTTATATAGATACGTATACGTATACAGTGAATGGCGGCGGCGACAGCAAAAAACCAGCCGGGACTGTCCATATAATTGCTATCGCAATAATAAAAAAAAGCAAAGCTGTAGTCAAGGGCCACACCATGTGCGCGCAGTGAAACTATTCATGCATGCATGGCGTCGAAAACGATGAGTGAACAACATAGACACTGCGGAAAACTATTCGGTAAAGCGCTCTCTCATGTGCAGTGCGGCCCCACATATGAAACACTAACTAAAAGCGTGTCGCTGTCAACGCGTAAAAGTAGTTTTCTTTTTTTGTTGTTTGGAGTGGGGGGGGGGGGGGGCACACACTCGCGCACGCCCGCCCGTGGGGTGCAAGCCCGCCTCACGCTCAGCCACCCGCGCACAATAACGAGCGATCGCTCTCGCCTGGTACACTGTGCGCGCTGCCGCCGTTTCGCGCTTCATTGGCGGCGGAGCAGTCGCTGAAAATGCATGCTCGTACTAAAATGTGGAATAAAATTCCTAGATCGTTTGTGGGGAAGATTCGTTATATCAAGGTTGTTTCCCACTGTTACTTCGTTACATAGAGGTCACAAATACATGTGCTTCTAAGGAACAATGGCGAGGAACAGAAAAACTTCCTTATATCAAGGAATTCATCATATGAAGGTTCGTTATAAGCAGATTTTACTGTATTCCTTTTAGTCACCGAGAAAAAGGTACCTCAAAATGACCAAAAATGAATAGGACTTTTAGGGCCAACTCGGTGCCCTTGACCTATAGTTGCCATTTGGTTTACATTTATCATAAAACTATAGTGGCAATGTATTGGGGCAGTTGGATGGTACAGATAACTGCCTCATCAGTGCTGCACATGTATCAGTGCGACATTGCAGACAGCTTTCAAGTGTTAACAACCCTCATGTTGTGGCACCCACAACAAGCACTCTTTCTGCTATTGGAAAGGCAGCAGGGCAATGCATGTCAGTTGATACAGAGTGCAGAGATGAAATTGTTAAGGCACACAAAATTCATGAAACCTTTATGGTGGTAATTTCCGATGGCAAAATATTATGACTGCACTTTGTTTTCCAGATGAGAGGGTTGGTATTTTTTGGCAGGAGAAGGTATCACCTCATTCACATGTGCAAGGTCGCGTACAAATTAAAAAGCATATATATAAAATGAAATGTGAAACGAACATACCTATGTTTGCAGCGTTAGAAGCTACCTAATGAGCTTTGCTAATACACTACAGTGGTCTAGTGGTTAGGGTGCTCGACTGCTAACTCAAAGGCCGCGGGATGACATCCCGACTGCAGCAGCCGCATTTCCAATGGAGACGAAATGCTTGAGGCTCGTGTACTTAGAATCAGGTGCACACTAAAGAACAGCAAAAATATCTGGAGCCCTTCACTACAACGTTTTTCATAAAGTGTGGCAATGAGTCTGAAAGAACTGTGGTTTTGGGACATAAAACCCCAGAAATTATTATTACTAATGAGCTTTGACTAAAAAAAGAGGAATGAAGAAGACTGACAAGCATTATGGTTACTTACTGATCTCTGAGAACATCTCCATCTCCATTTGGGTACAATGCATGAACATATATTTGACTCATGATAGCTCTTTCTATTGTGTGCTGAGCAAGGTTGATCTGTATGTCACTGGCCACTGTAAACATAATGAAACATAATCAAATGAGCGCAGAGATACATTAAAGACAATCACGGAGAAAAAAATAAAATAAAAGTATATGAACCTACAATCATAAAATTACAGTCATGCTTGTTTACATTTTTGCTTTGTGGCAGGATGGAAATTCTTTGCAAAAGTTGAAAGCACTAGTGCTTTGCAGCAAAGTAACTGTTGTACAGAACTATTACACAAAAAAAATATAAAGCCTTTGTACCAAACAGGTACCCACTACAGTGAGTAGGCTATCACTTTAGAAGGTTGGTGGCTTTGCCCTCTGCTTTATTCCATATTTAAAAGTGAAGGTGTCAGCAGTCAGCAGTAGTTGTTGGCCTACTGATGCCAACAACTGAACATCAGAAAACAGGTGCAAACAGATAATGCCCTGCAATAAGTATTGCTACACTTTTACTCATGCAGTAATACTTAAAAAAGGAAGAGCGAGAAAGTGAAATAAAAAAAAGAAGAGTATATTCCATATGCAACAGGAACCAAGAGATCCGCAGCTATGAATTTATAGTAAGGAATCATGGGATACACAGTCATGAATTCAAAGCTTCAGTGCTAAGCCCAGAACATGAATGGAGAGTGGGTTCATTAAAGTTAGTATGGTTCTGGTACCGTTGGCTGCTGTCCCATCACTAAAGTGAGTGTGACACTCTCATTGTATTCACCTCCTCATATACCTAAATGTTTCAACAAAAACATGCATTTCAATCAAAATCACTTTCCTGAAATTTTTATAAACCTGATGCCCCCTTTTCTGGTAAACTATCCAATCAATTTGTATGAAAACATCTTAGGCTATATTGAGATCTCTTGTGAACAGTATCGAAAAAAAATTTTGAAAAACAGCTTCTAAAAAAAAAAAAACTAACTGGAAAGTTTTTCTCACGGTATGTTACAAGTTGGTGCAATATTTTTTTTTCTAAGTAAGATGAATGTGGGAACCCACTTTTTAAGCAACAATTTAAAGCTGCTATCATGTGAAATTGGTGTACCAAGTTTTACGGTCATGGTGTTTCTTGTTCCTGAGAAAAGCTACACTTAATTGTACACCCTAGCCTAAAAATGGATTCTCTAATACAAAAAAGTGAAAGTGGCTGCAATGAAAAAATTACATCAAGTGCCAAAAGCACTTGTATTCAACATACACTGAAACCTAATCATAACAAAGTTGTATATTACATGAAAATAGGTTTGTTATATCCAAAAACTCATTACAAAGGTATATTCTTAACACTGTGCCAATTGCAGGACTATTCTTCATTTACCTCTTTATAACCAATACCTCGTTATATCCAGGTTCGTTATATCGTGGTATGAGTGTACAACCTTTCATACTATAATATGGAACAGTTGTATATATAATGTTCAAACCAAGATGACCCATTTACACTGCCATATCTCCTAACTTGATAACTGCTGTTACACTATCAGGGTTCATGCTCTCAAGGACATTGTCGGTACTTAGCTGACACACGGGGGAGAATACAAGCTTGAAATAACTAGACTTCATCGAAAAAGGATAACATCGCTGGAGCAAACATCGAAAACATGGCTCTGATAAAATTTTCTTTCTAGACAATTTTCAATGATAGTTTAGATAATAGCTTTCAGTTTAACACAAGATGCAAACTTTTATTCAGATAGGCAAAACTAAAGAACAATTATTACGTTGCTCCTTGCTGCTTTTCCTGAATTTCCATATCAAAGTCCACTATCTCCTGCTGCTTCGTGATGGCAGTCTTCCTCAGACTGTTTGACTTGATGCACGTCATGTCATTAGTTGCCTCTGTCTATGTAGCTGTTGATTCGTTTACAGTGACATCTAGTTTCATCTTTTTTTTATAAGCATTTGAACTTCCTCATCAATGCAACATTTCTTTTCTCATCCTCTTGCTCCTGTCTTTCGCGAGTTTCCAAATATGCATAGTGTTGTCTTCCATGGTGGAGTAGTTGTTACAGTGCTCGGCTGTAGACCCAATGGTCACATTTCAACAGAGGCGAAATGGTAGAGGCCCATATAGTGTGCGTTGTCAGTGCATGTTAGAGAACACCAGGTGGTCGAAATTTTCGGAGCCTTCTACTATAACGTTTCTCATAATCATCTCTTGGTTTTGGGACGTAAAACCCCAAATATTATTATGATTAAAAATGCACAGTGTTGGTTCCTTGCAGATGCTACTGATGTTCTCAATTCTATTATGATTACTAGCACATTGCATATTCCACCTGCGACATTTACGACATCACAAATAATGAACTGTGAAATGTGCGACAATGTTAATTAGAAATAAAAAAAAGGAAACTCAAAGATTTGTGAAAATTCCAGCTCTTTCAAGGCATTCAAAACAAGCTTTTTGAATTCGAGGGTTTTCAAGGGTGTCAGGGATCTGCATGAACCCTGCACTATTTTGCAAGTAATTATGCTCACCAGCTTTTCAATCCAGAGCATTACTACTTTACATAAAAAACCATGCTTTCATATTGCACCAAGAAGCCACATGACAGGCAGTTTATGCACTTACAGACACTATGACAACACTAAATTGTGTATTTACACTTTGAAATGCTTTGTGGAGTTTCATTTTTTCGAAAGTCAACTACAATGGTAAAAAAAGAAAAGATAGTAGAAGAAGAGAAAGAAGGCAAAAAAGAAAGAAGCAGTAAGACAGCAAGATACTTACTTTGCCATGTTGGGTCTACTTCCATTTGTTGAAATAGATATTGCAAAAACTGCTCAACCAATTGGGCCTACCAAACAAAAAACGTAGATTCACATGTAAGAAAATGCCAAAACACGAGTTTTTCGGTGAGATTCAACACACTAACAAGATACTAATATGTTAAGAATTTAGTCATATAAGTCAATACTGAAAGTTGCTACAAATAAATGCTCCAAGTGCTCATAGTCAACCCCTTTGATTTTGACATTGATAATATTGAAGAACAAGAATGAGCAAAAGTGACTACACCAATGGTCTACAATACTGCTACAGCCACTTGCCAGTCCTTTAGGTATCCAAGGGATCACTCAAATGGCCAAAGTAAAAAAAAAGGAAAATAATTAATTCAGAATTTTCGTTTTACTGCCGTGTATTCAGCCAAGCGTGGTCAGCCCTTCCCATTGATTCAGCCAGTGACTAGTGGCCTACCTAGCAATGAACCACAATAGAAGTGTCCACTGATTTCAATGAATTTCTGGCACAAAACAAACACCAGTCGGTTTCAAGAACCAAGAAAGTTTGTTTCCAACAGTAGTTGTTGGAGATCACCCCAGGTGAAAACAGCGAAAATGCCGCTTGAATGTGGCTGTACACAAGGCAGTGCTGACACATTTCTTTCTACATAACAAACAAATTAGAAACACAGAAATACTGGAAAACAAAACATACACTTTAAACATGTGAAAACAGAAATGTAATTATGCTAAAAAATAATGATGTTTGAAGTGATAACCCAGATTTTGCAATGTTCATTGTAAAAAAAAATTCACTAGCATGCTCTATGGTGCCTAAAATTTTGATCAACAGACAACGCACTTTCCAAAGGCAGTACCTATTAATGTCTGAATGATCCAGCATATTGTAATCTTCAATTTCATTTTCTGAGAAATCAGTAACTGTGACACTTAAAAAGTTTTCTTCTCATCTTATGCAGAAAAAAAGCAAACAAACGGATCTCATGAAGCAAGCACATCATGCTAAACACCACTTTCTGACATGCTTTGTGATAACTCTCTACTAGCTGTTGAGAAGGCATTTTGTACTCTTGATGTCTTGTAGTCAATGAAGGTAAAAACCATTTTTGTATCAGTGTGAAGTCAAAATTTAAAGAAATTAGCCAGTTTGCACTGACACCTTGAAAAAATCTTGATCACGACCAGTGCACAAGTCGTGCCACCCCATTATAACAGTCACTGAAGCTATAAGCATCACAGGTAAAAAAAGGGTAACATTCCGACTAATTATTTTAGAAAAAATAACTTCTTAAATAACTTATTATAGTGCACAAATAAGTACTGAGAGAGTATACTTATTATACGAGCACAAAATGGTTAGTATATTTGTGACATCATTCAAGAGTGCATGTTGTTTGGCAGCTGTGAGGCAGTCACCACCTCAGAGTTAGGTTTAGGACACAACTTTTCGGCTCGCTTGTAAGGCGCACTTGGCTAGAAAAAGTAACACTGGCACGGCGATGGCACCGCATGTCTATTGTATGTTGGTATGGCAACCAACGTGGTCGCCGGTGAATAAAGCAAAACAAAAAGAAAGGCCTTGCATTGTGTACTTCACACGGAATTTGCCCTGGCATTACATTTATTTCTCACTTCGTAGGTGGTGAATGTCAGTAAATGCAAATTTTTACTCGGAGGTTAGTGCATACTATCACTTAGCGTATAGTAATACAGAGTTCCTGTAAGGTGCACATTAAAGTTACACTGTTAGAAAAACTGAATGGTAGATACTCAATTTGAAAACTGAACTATTCACAGACCTATTATTCAATTCATATTCAAATATTTAGTATTCGCAAAACCTTAGTAAAGAAGCTTGTTCATTCAAAACAGTGCTGTCCTACGTACTTCTCATGTCTCCACATGTCTTTTCTACATACTCTTCTTTAAGCAAGAAACATATTCACTGCTTTCTGTTAAACCTGTTGCACCAGGTTTAACAGCAAATAGCAATATTTTTGCTGGCAGGACATGTGCCTTAATAGTAACATAAAAGAACGCAGAGAAGGATTCAAGGCCAGATTATTTAACATTAAATAAAATTTGAGCCCACTTCCAGCGGAATTCGAATTTCCGTAAATGAACCAACAACCTACCACAGCTTCAAACAAAAATCATGTTCAGTAGCTATGCACCAACATACATAAATTCCTTGAAGTTTGCTGTCTCAGTGATGCCACCGAGGTCTGCAGATTTGGAGCAATTTCTGGAGCAGCAAAATTTGTATTTTTTGTTGCAGTAAAATTTGCATTTCGGAGCATTCGTAGCAGCAAAATTTCCCATTTTGGAGCAATCCCAAGCAGCTAAGTTTACATCCTGAAGGAGAAGCAAGAAGCATTTACATTCAAGGACATGAATAATTATTTTGGGGCTCTTGTGAAGAGCTAGAAATATTTTGATTAGTTGCAAACCTCATGACGCCAGAGATCTTGGAAGCACTCTCTATTTCAGTTGATGATACAAAAATATTGCAATCATGCTGTTGAGCATTCTAGAAAAACTGGTTCAGTGATTGTTTGTAGCAAATAAACAGAATACTGGTTGATTAAAATAGTACTTCATGAAATAACATTCCAAATGCACCCATGCAGTTATCAGTAAGTTTGGTACACAAATGCTAGACACTCGCACAGTCCCAACTGCATTTCTATTAGATGAATTCAAGAATAAAATTAGGTTTTCTTCACAACTGATTATATTGCTGAGCGTAACATGAAGTCATTCTGCTACTCTCATACAGCCAACCTCCTCCGGCACTCGTCTCTGTGTGCTGAAACTGAATGATTAAACAAATTTCGTTTTTCTTTTGCAGCAGTGTTTTATGTGGCTAGGGCGTTCAGTCTATACAGCAAAAAAACACTGTGTGTGCTTTAGAAAGCAGTACAAAATGAAAAAGAAAACCTCAAGGGGCCCCTTATGCACACACTTAAGACAACCTGACGGCGAGAGCCATTTTGTTTTTGTTGTGATTAGTTATACTGACATTATCGACTGGATTTTGCCATCACCAGAGGCATAGAAACAAATAATTTTCATTGTTTCAGGGTGGGCACCTTAATTAGAAGGGGTGGCACACAGGCAAATGGTCTCTTTGTGTGATATGTGCTATCACGATAAAATGGGGGGGGGGGGGGGACATTTCCGATGTCGTCATCCCCCCCCCCCCGGCTACACCACTGACCACTGGCCGTCACCATCATGTTTTGAGTACTGTCCAAATTGTGTTTTGCACGCGGGTAAAAGCGCGCGAACGGGAGCGACGAACGTGGCTAAAGCACACACAGATAAAAAGGCTGATGTATCTCCTTTGATGGATGCGATAACATCACTTTGCGTGTCAGGCCTGCCATCGATTGTTACTCAAGCAGAGAGGAACGCATCGCCCGTTTTCAAGGAGCAGGAAGGAACTAGGACCGCAGGGGGGGGGGGCTGTTATATGAAGTTCTACTATAAGGGTGCTATTTCGGCAGACATTAAAGACAGCTAGTATACCCTTCTACAGTGTACTCTCAACGCGAAGTGACTGGGCGAAAGTGCTTTGCTTTCTAGAGCGGCCATATAGGGGTCTGCACAGAGCCTTGATCACACCATAGTCGCACCATTTTGGAGGTCCATTCCTACGTGCTATTCGCCGCCCATAAAATCACACTTATCTAGAGCAGCGAAACGCGTACCTGTAGAGAGTGTTGTTGGCCTCGGTTTCTATCTCACGTTAGCAACAAGCTTCTGTTGATGCTTACATTATAGCACAAAGTCCTTGTGCTATAATGTAAGCATCAACAGAAGTTTGTAGCAGCATATGACCATGACACGCAGCACATAACCGTGACACGCAGCATGTGACCATGTTTGGCATCATTACGGCGTCTCTCTTTACATATTTCTGAATTTCTGAAAAAAAAAAAAAGAAGTACGGCAGCTAGAGCAGCCGGCTGCGCCCTCTAGACAAGTCTGATTCTATCTGTACATGCCTCAGCATGCAAGAAGTGTTCCGGGGGTCTCTAGTCATGAAAGTCGCTGTACAGATATCGAAACTCGTGTGTGCAGAAAGTTTTCTGTACGTTTAGCGAGTGCGCGGACCTCCTAAATGGCAACCCCGCCACTAGTGCTCCTCACAAATGATGTCAAGCCATATTATTTGGTATAAAAGCACAATTTGTTGGCATCGCATTCATTGCTAAGAGCTTAAGTGATAGTATAAATTGTATCTTGTGGACCCGATATCGCATAAGTCAAAAGAAGGCTGTGTAAAGGCACAATAATCACTCCAGTTACCGAAGTGCTTTTCGTGTTGTCAGTTATTCGAAACGCGGAGCAGAGGTTAGTAGCGCAGAAAGTCATGAGCAGCCTCATTATGCCTCGAGATATAGCGCGCATCAGCAACTGTGCCTTTTGAGCAACGCAGCCTTCCCCACCCCCACCCTTAAAAAAAATTAAGCAATGAATGCGATGCCATGATCTTCATTTTTTATTTGTTTTGTTTTTAACCGTACGCTACTGACCCTGCAAAGCAAGGGGCATATGTGTAACAGAGGCACCAGCGATGGCCCCACTAGTGAAAGCTGCACGTTGCTGCTGCTCCGACTGAATTGCGGCTGCTCCGACCAGGACGCGTGCTTTCATTAATGAGATAACATTTAAAAAAAAAAGCACGTGGAAATTTTGTATTCGGACCCTAGCAATATCAAGTTTGAAAGGGCAGGGTCTTTTGGGGGCTTTTACCCCAACAGCGATTACAAACGCAGATGTGCTGCCGGACGGCATTACAAAAAAGCTTTTCTGAATGAATATCCGGGAATAGAGTATACACTCAAGCCTCGTTATAACGAAGGTGAAGAGGAACCACAATTAGTTCATCATATCCATTATTTCGTTATATCAATTATAACAGTTTGTGGCAATGTATGCTCAGATGGGCGCACACCTATAAGCATGCAAAGAAGGAAACCACCTCGTGGCCCGATGTACCGCTACGCGACCACGCGTGTGACGGAAAATAAACACAGTCAACTCTCATTAATTCGAACACGCTTAATTCAAACTTCCAGTTAATTCGAACTCACCTTAAGGTCCCGTCAAAGCTATGTGTATTCCAGTAGGCGAAAACGCCCTGTAATTCGAGTGCGCAAGCACTTGCGATGGTTACCGTATTTACTCGCGTAATCCTTGCACTTGCACAATTCTCGCACCCCCCACATCACCCAACAAAAATACAATTTCTTTTTTTCTTCGAGTAATTATCCCACCCCCGAAAACTGCTGCAATAATGTCTTCTGCTCTTCCCAGCCACTGATGATGATAGCGCACGTCATCTGGCGCCATCTCTTAAGCATCAAGCATACTATTGCACAGAGATTCAATCCAACTCAAGCGAAGCCGAAGTGGCCAGTGCGCGTTGCGACGTGTTTTGTATGTTGCGTCGGTGACCTTGTCAAGTTATGAGGCGATACTGAAGCTGTACGGCTGCTTTCAAGTTGCAAGTGATAGATAATGCACTAAAGAACGGCAACAGGGCCGCCGGTAGGCCCTTGAGATTGATGGTAAACTTTATTTCTTAAGAAGGAAACTGCAGACAATTCTGTTAAATAGCCATCAGCCCAATACTGACGTCCCACGCTTACCTTTTGGGGGCTCCTGTTGAGCGACGAACGCTACCGCTACGCCCGCAACGTCCGCAAGCTTTGCGTATGATATTCTAATTCTCGACTGTTTGCTTCCACTTTTTGTGCCTCAATTAAATGTTGTCTTGTGTCGGACCTCTGCTTTTATTGTTGAGGTAAGTTTTAATTAGTACTTCTTAAAGCTTGCTGTTAATTGTTGGTGTAAGATTCCCGATTTGCGGCCACTTCGTTTTCTTTTTCGCTCTGTACGTTTTCGTAGAAAGTTTTCCCCGCGTAATTCTCGCACCCAACTTTTCATCGGTATTCCGGCAAAAAAAGTGAGAGGATTATGCGAGTAAATACGATAATTCGAACATAACACACTCCGAAAATGCTCTTAGCATCATGCCCAATCCCGCAGCGGCATCTCTCAACGCTGCGCGCGAAGAAGGAAGAAAAAAAAAAGACTTTGGCGGATTGTTTGCTCTCTCTCAAATGCCGATTTGCGACGCGCCTGAGCCACGCTTCTCCCTTTTCCGTCTCTGCACGTAGAGAAACTTCTCCTTTCAAGGCTGCACGTGGAGAGGAAAAAAAAATGTGGCCCTGTATGTGCATGTAATCTGCAAATGTCGTCGGAAAACGATAGTCTTGCGTTTGGAGAGAGTGAACAAAAAGTTTATTTGATGTTCTGTGCAAGAAAATTGGTAAATGGTATTCTGGAGGCGCTGCGTTTGAGTACCTCGAGCATGCAGCGGAGGCGAACGAGCGCATCAAGTCACGTCACACGTCATACATGAGCGCTATCTTGGAAAACGAAGCGCGTTGCTCAAAGACGGGTGTGCACGCCCGTCTCAGAGGTGTAAGGTGTGGAACACAATGTGACGGGTAGGTGCCACCACCGTGTCGATTTAGCAAAGCGTTGGAAACACTTGCCTTTTCGTGCAAGCGTTCCATGGTCAGTGCAGCGTGATATATGCTACGGTCCTTGAAATTACTTATGGATGCCTTTTCCAGTAAAAGCCGCACATACAGAATATATACGTGTTGTTATGTTGCCTCAGATATGCACAACAATTGCTTTTTAATTGACAATCGCACAAGTATGAACGCTGAATCTTGAGCAATATTGGTGGGCGCTGCGAATGGATTCGGCCGTTTGGGGTATTGTCTGGTGTCGTTTACGGTACCCAGTACCGTTAAAATGGACAAACAGACAAATGTACATACAAACAGACAGAAAGACCAAAATTTTTCCGCGGAAGGTCCCCAAGAAACACTATCACCCTTAAAAAAGAAAAAAGAGAGCCTTCGCGGAGAGTCCTCCTTTCTCGGTGCAGAGGGTAGCAGCGGAGACACAGTCATTGCCATCGTGAGTGAGAGGAAAATCGCTTTGCACCGCGGCGCCACTTCTGGGTCATGTGACCCGCTGAGTGCTTCCTCAATCCTCTCCGTTGGCTGAGTGAGGAGGACGGCTCTCTCGGCCGTGCGTGGCGTGGCTGTAAGTTCGGCGCAGTAGTTTTGAAAGAGCCGTGCCGAACCAGCGTCAAACTCTGCAGAAATCGATATACTGAACACACTACGGTCGTTTTTGTTTTTTATAGACTATTTGATAGACTAATTTTATTCGTTATATCTATTTACCGGTCAATATTACTTCATTACAAAGAGGTTTAAAATGCATGGTTCTCAATGAAGCTTTCGAGGAAAATTTCATTTACCTTGTCATATCCATTATTTCATTATATCCTGTTATATTATAACGAGGTTTGTGTGTATTAGAGAAAAAGTGTGCACGCGTTCCTATCGTTCACGTGTTTTTCTGTGGATGTGAAGCACAGAAAATTAGATTGCGATGACCAGAAGTAGACGTGACAGATATTCTGGCGGCACACGTGAAGTTATTAGTAAAGATCCCTCCAATTACGTGCCGTGCAATTCTTCAAACGAGCTATCCGCACCATTTTTGCAATGAATGATGTCCGCCGATGAATCGCCGCTACAGTTTCACGCTACCAATTAAACTAGACATCACGAGCCCCTGTGGAAAACCCCTGTGGAGAGCACGCTTCACCGTTAAGCGAATTTCCACAACAAAAGTTGTGTCGGCACCAAAAATAGCATCGTGGATTATTTAGTACGCACGCGCAACCGCTGTTGTTTTAGCGGAATAACTCTAGGTACCCAATTGTGACTTTGGTGGCCCCGAAAAACGGTGCACATGTTCTGACGCGCCGGCATGAATATCATCAGTGATAGATGCTTCCAAATCCTACTTTGGCGTAGTTTGGCGCAATTTCCGTGGATATTATCAGGATGACACAGTAAACTTGATTTGGCACACTTCGGCGCTGTTGGCCCAGAAGTGTGATCACTGTTGTCCGGTAAAAGATGGTTGGCTCTCTTTCTTACCTTTTCATCAGCTGCAGTAAGTCCTTGGAAAGAGCGTGAAAAGGCCTGGAGACGCTGTTCACGAGGATCAAGAAAGTGCCGAACACACAGTGTAGCAAGGTGTGTTTGGCAGACATCACGGTCACGCTGAGTGCGGCGCAGTCGTGTCTCCAGCTGTGCGTGCAGTGCCAGCAACCCTTGGCGGCAGCGCACCAGGTATGCTATGTAGGGAGCTCGGCGCCGGTGCTCATCTTCGAGAGCCCTGTGAGGCAGAAATGGGAAGCAAAAAAAATGAGAGATGTCCTTGTGATTAGGCTAACATATGCATCATTGCATGACAGTTACTGTGTTTTGCTTTATATAAGGAAGGCTTTTTTTTTTTTTCGAAATTTTCACTGGTGCTTTTTATACACCCAAACATCACACATGCCTGCACTACCAATACATCCATATTGTTTTTTTGTAACAGTACGATAACATAGCAGCACAGATCACTATCGTCACGCCTACTATTTTGTCTACAATCTAGCATTTCCCTTAAACAAAACATTATTTGCACATAACTGAGCCAGTCAGTACTGAAAAGGCAAAACAATGTTTTGCAGTTACATATTAGCACCTAATATCTACCTGTTAAAGAATAAACTAAATAATTTGAAAAACATGGTTTTGTACCCATTCTATGAACAGATGACATAAGTACCAGAGAAGGTTCTATAACACTCTGGAACAGCAGTTCATGTTCCTCAATGCCTGAAAGCTTGAGAATCCTCATCTTTTGTTATATTATTTGTCTTTTTTTTTTCGAGGTTCGATTAGGGCAGCTTTTTGAGAGGTTTACGGCCATGCCTGTTCAATTGGGAGGAGTGGTCAGAATTCAAAAGTCTCTTGAATTGATGGGATGAGTTGGCAAGAACGGACCTGCACACCAAAAAATACAGGGCTTTATCTTCCAAGGCTACACAAAGGAAACAAGGAATGCCTTAGTGGAGGGGGGGGGGGGGGGATGGGGAGATTGCTATGAAAAAAATTTGATCAATCCAAATATATTTTTTTCTTTGGTTTTTTTTTTGTGCAGCCAGCCATTCTACCTACCCATGAAATCAGGAGGCTGTGGCAGAAAACAAACCATCTATTCTTATCCTTATCAGTGAAGTACATTGGTTCCTGTAGCATCAAGGCTCGACTCCGAGGCCTGCTCACCTGAGCACTCGTAGACACTGTAACTCGTCCAAGAGGCGCAAGCAACGAAGGGCCTCATGAACGTGTGAGGCTAGTGTTTTGTTTTGCAGTAGTGTAGCTTGAGCCAGCAAGCCCTGAAGCAGTGCTGCAGGCTCCTGTGGGCCTCCCTGTGGAAGATCAGCTAATGCCAGCACCAAGCGCAGCTTCTTCTGAGCGTCTTCGAGCAGGCCCTCTTCACTTCCTCCCTGCGATGATGGTAGTGGCTGTGGCTGCAAGGGCTCTAAGGGCGTGCTGGGGGAAGCCCCATTGCTGCTTGTGGCCTCAACTGTGCCACCAATGGCCCCCACTGGGCCTGCACCTCTATACTTTTCCAGAATGTCAGCTGCATCTGAAAGAAAAAAGGCTTCTTTTTTATCGATAAACACTTTTTGGCATAATACTTCACACTGTCAGAAGATAAGGACATCTTTTCCCATCTCTTTCTCTGGCTAGACATGAAATGCATTAGTGTTTTTTGCCAACACTGCATACTGGCCATGTATGTCAGCGATTATTAATTTGTGTATTTTACCCTCAAGGCCAAATGCATTACAGAGGGGGCAGGTTTAAACTAAGACTAATAATGAAAAAGACACGTAATCGAACAAAAGCAGTGAATATACTTTACACAAACAAAACTGTAAAAGAGGTGTTCAATTAAAAAGAGGTACCTGGACAGAGTCTAGGGCAACTGGCCTTGACCAAAAACTACCTACTAGTAACAGGTTACATATTTAGATGACTATTATAATGGTAACAGGGTGCCTACCAATTTAATTTTTCCATATTCCCCAACTTTTCCAGTTTTTACATAATGATTAAAAGCAAATTCCTTAACCGTCACGTCTTCTTGGAAAACTCTGTGCACTAGAAACAAATCCTCGAGTGGTAAAAAAAAATCGGGTGCTCACATAAAAATAAGTAAACATTTTAACCACACACACACTCAGAATGTTATGAGCATGTGCGGTAGATATGAAAAAATATTTATATCGGGCCAAAATAAAACCTCTGAGACAGGAAGTGAACAAGTTGGCTGTTTAACATTTGGAAGAACCAGTAAGCAAGCACACGAGTTGAAATTAACTGCAGCTGAAAGTTTGAAGGAGCTAATGACAGTCCCAACAACACAGGCAAAGCTGCTAGGAAACTTGAGGCCTGACCACACATTCGCGTTGCAGTGTCTCAGCGCATGACTTTTTAACACCGTGCTGTGCCCTCTCCTTATACAGAGAGAGCACATGGCTATGCGAAGCTGCGCTCCCCTCTCCCTTCACTATGAGACGACACAGCGCTGCATCAATAAGCCAAACGAGCTGCAAGGCGCTCATGTAGTCAAACCTTTCAGAAGTGCCGCCATTTCTTTCCATCTGTGTAAAAGGAGGACGAGGACGCGGGAGCCCGCGACCAGTTCCGCAACTGGTGTATATGCCCAGACTGCTTAGGATGTAGATTGGATTGAATTAGATTGACCTGGACTACTGTATTTAGGTGATTTTGCTATTCAGGATGTAGATTGGATTTGATCTGATTTGCCCTAGATTGTTGTACTTACTATCCAAAACCGCATATTCTGACAACAACTAATGACAATGTCGCAAGGATGAAGCCGTACTGGAATTTCTTTTTTTTTACAACGAGTGGATGCATGTTGGTGTATTCCTCTGGGCTCTGACACTTGGAGAGTGACAAAAGTCTACAGATGCCTGCATTGAAAGCTGGGGGCAACATTTAGAGTGCTGACGTTTGAATATGTGGTGGCAAGAAGGAATCTGTCTGGTTGCAACGGCTTCCTCGACTCCAGAGATTAATCATGAATGCCAGCCTGTTACCTTCATTTACATACTCTTCTATGGATGTGACACTAAAAAATAATCACAGATTTAATAACACCATCTCAAGAAACAGAAATGAGAACTTCAAGTAAAGTTATCTAATGCTACCCTTGAAACACGAGCTACCAGCAATAAGTGTGTAGCTGAGGACGTTTGCCGTTGCATTGCCAATAATAATAATAATAGTAATACTACTAACAATAAAAGGCGTGACATGTCCTGGAAAGCCTCTGCTGATGGCAGTTCTGGCCTAACCCAAGCCAGGCCGAAACAGTGGCCAACCAACTAGTGGGTAATATTGTGGTTCGAAAGTCAGGTATGCTGTTTGTGTGCAAAGCAACAGATGTCAAAATAGTGTATGTGTCAACATGGAAGCTAAAGAATGCTTTAGCCAAAATGAAAGACAAGTTTCTCAGCGGAAATTTCCCAGTCTTCTTTACGCCATAGGCTGCCATGATTGTGACAACCAGTACATCGGTGGGACCAGTGATTTCAAGAATAGAGTTAAACGATATGAATATGACGTCACGAAACGATGCATGACCTCGAATGCCCTCGCTGAACATATGAAATCTTTGGTCAAGCGGACGTGTTCTAGCCAAAGAAAAGCTGGCATCATCCCTGCACCTCGAATCCCTGCACATACAGAGGACTTTGCATAAGCTGAACAGGAGTAATAAGACACTTTCAACAATGTATGCGCTTACATCACATGCTTAGGCGTACTTAAATATGCTGTGCCTTTCCTATGGCTTTTAGTGTGAACAAGGCTCCCGTATCGAGTGGCAGTAAACTTTGCATTCTTCTGGTAGGTGCATACTTTGGCGTTTACACTAAGAAGCAGCAGTTATACACTGCCTTTTTTAACACCAAAGTGATTTATGCCGGGGTCCACCACGGCTCCGCAGACATACTTCCGTCACGGAAGAGACGCTAAAAAATATACTAAGAGACTGCAAAAAAAAAAAAAACACCAGAAGACAAGCATTTGTTGCGCGAAATCGAAGCAGCAAACCTTCGATTCTCAGAGTGCGAAGCTAACCACTAGGCCACAGAGCGTACATTGCCTGCAATGCTAACGGCAAGCCATTCATATATACCATACACCGTTTGGCAGTTCACAGAGCTTCAAAACTTTAGCGCGTTTTCATTTTCGCAAGGTGGCGTGACGGGCTCGCGTTGGGTGCGCTCTAAAGGTTGTCACCTCACGAAGCGCCGCCCCCGCGAAGTGTGGTCTCTCCTGCGCGCGCGCTTATCAGACTCGTAATTCAGGAGAGGACGAAAGTCCTTCGCACGCTGCGTGGTCGCATTTACGAAAGGAACGTGCTGCTGACACACGATGCAGGAAGAATTGTGACAGTCATTCACGTTTGTACTTGTGCGCGCGTTTCGTGCGTCTTTCTTTACATTTGAACAGCACGCTTTAAGTGTCAAGCTGTGACAGTTGTTAGTCTGCGCTCGTCCTGTGTATGCTTATTTCATCCGTGCTTTCTGCTTGAGCCGTGCGCTGCAAGTTTTGAGCTACTTGGCCTTCTTAACGAGACTTTGCAATTAGTTGCTGTTTTTGAAACAATGCACAATAAATGCTCAACTAGCTTTGTAAAGACACGTTTCACTTTCGTGTTATACCGATTTCTATTTAGGCAGATCAGCCATGTTTTTTTTTTTCATTATTCCAGGCCTCTTCTAGCTGTTCAGTTCAGTTCAGTTTGTTATTATTCATTGTTAGTAGTTGCAGCAGAAGGTGTGACATTTTGAGCTTTGATCAATGGTAATATTTATTTTTGTGATGGTCGCACAGACTGCCGTCAGTTTCCATGACCTGGTCAGGTTTTTCACAAATTCTCTGACTTTTCTCCGACTTTTCCAGAAGGGCCCAAATTTCCTGAATCTTCCAGATTTTCCAGGTTGGTAGACACCCTGTGTAATAACCCTGTCACATGGCACCGGTCACACTATTACGGTCTATTTCAAAGCCAGTTGCCTCTGCGTGTTCAGCCAGTGCATTCGACGAAACCCTCTTCTTTACATCATATACATGCCGCTCCAGTCTGCTAAAGCTACTTCTCTCGCCAAGGTAACTTTTACCGTAGTCTGCGCCACCCCCAACTCTGCTCCCCAGGTGTGTGTCCCCATGTGTGTGCCTGACCATATGGTTTTCCGTCCGCCAGTTGCGTAGCTAGGGAGTGGCACACCAAGCCCATGCACCCCCCCCCCCCCCTTGAAGTTGTTTCCTATGGCATAACAAAAATAACAGTAGACCATATCTCCCTGTCCAGCCCCCTAATTCTAGTCAAGATGGTGCCCCCTTCCATAAGAAGTTTCTTCCTACACCCCTGCCATCCGCGACTTAAGCTCACATGGTTTCTTGCTTACCATATCTATTCGAATATAGGTCGACCTTTTTTTTTTGCAAATGTTGTTGATAAGCCACTATCAACCTATATTCGTTACCAAAGAATCTTGACCTACATTCATGATCAAAACCAACCAAAAGTGCCAAGTTTATGGCGTTCAACTGCGACGCCCACTGTTCTGCTAGCGGTTCCTGCTCCATGTGGAATAAAAACACCCCCCTCCTTTCAGACTACCTAAGTAATTGAGAAAAAGTTATTTATGGAATAGCCGCATACCGGCTTTTCAAAGCACCCACGAAATGCAGCCGCTCTGCCATGTTTTTGATGAAACCCACAATTTCCTTATAGGTCGTGAAGTCCCTAGCCCGTTAGCCATTCTTCTGGTGTCTTTTGGTACTGCTTTCCAGCATGCAGTCGAACTGCACTGGCCTAAAGCCTCGCCACCTCGCCTTGATTGAAGTCTCGTCGGCAGAGCTACACAGGTGACTTCAAGTGCCAAGTGATACTTTTTGCCAAGGACTCTAACAATTGTGCTGCGAAGTGCAAGTTCTGTGTGAATGATAAGTTCATTAGGGGTAGGCAAAAGCAGCGGGACCGTATGTTTGTGTGCAATGGACGGCGTCATGCTTTTTTGCGGCCCAGCAGCGAGAACGACGTCATTTGTGAAGCTGCCGATGCTTGCGAAGAATAGGATGACGAGAATATTTTGCACATCTGACAAGATGACGGCCCTGGCAGCGATTAGGACGCTAAGTAATGTAAATAAAGGTGTGCTACGTTTCAATTTTTCTGTTTCTAAATTGAAAAAAAAAACTTGGGCCAACCTACATTTGATTACTTTTTTTTCTCATAGAACACTATTAGTAGGAGTCGACGTATATTCGTTTCTGACCTATTTTCCAGTAAATACAGTATATGTGTGTAGAATGGGCCCACAGCCTCTGTCACTTCTTCTCAAAGTTGTTTTGATCTACAGCCGAAAACGCGGTCGGCTTCAAAAACTGATTCATCTTCTAATAGCTATGGTGAAATGTCACCCAGCTAATGAATGAAGCTATAAAATTTGGACACTGGCATTTTTACTGAAACATGAAATTGCCATTTAGATCACGATAGGCACGACGTACCTCGCAGTATGCTCATTTAAGGGTGCAAAA